TAGGACTTTTTTGTAACCACCTCCCTCCTTCATATTGATGTCAATGTGTAGGAAGATATCCTTGGTTCTGCTTGGAATAATCTTTCTAATCACCCTAGAAAATGACAAATTCCTTCTGATCCTTCACGGTCTAGTTCTGTAACTATAACCATTTCACACCCAAATCCATGTAGATTTCCCTCAGCAGGTACACATGCACTACACCACCTTGTATTCACAGCATGAAAACAAACAAGAATCTCAACCTCCCTGAGGCTCCTTTCTCTCCTGTGTAAGATTGGCTACAATGACTTTCTTATAGGTTTGCTGTGAAGATTAAGTGTTGTGAGAGATGCTAAAATGTGTCATACATCGAAGACCAGGATGCACACAGTAACCTCTGATAACTAACCATTATCAAAGCTGAGCTGCAGACCTAAAGGATGAGCCTGTAGTTAATCACTTTTCAGTGTATGTGTTTCTGGGTGTACAGAGTCGCCTAATGTACCAGCTGTGTCTCATGGAGGTCGTATTTCAGTGGGACAGAAGACAAGTAAAAGAACCAATATGTTAATGAGATTAATGGCAGGGTAGAGGGGGACAAAGAGTCTTAGAACCTCGCAAAGGACCCTTAATTCCTTTGGGATGGCATGTCATGAAAGATATCTTAGAGGTGAAATGAGTCCCACAGGATGAGAAGGAATTTGTGAGCTTAAGAGAGAGGAAAAGCACGCATTCCAGATAAGAATGAGCTTGAACAAAGATTTGAAGGAATCCAAGAGGAGGATGTATGCGGACCCAAGTAGCTTGGTACCCTAGGGGCATAACAGGAGTTAGGTGAAAGTGGTCTGGGGTGGGGTATAAAGGCTTGAGAGAAAGAGAAATCCTTGAATTCCAAACTGAAGACTTTATGCCAAGGTTAGTGGGAAGCTAGCAAAGGGTTGAAGACAATGAATGCAGATGAATAAGTCTGCATTTTAGAACAATTACTTTGGGGGTCATTTAGGAAGGGGCAAGACTGGAGGAAGAGAGATTGACATCAAGGATTTTGCAATATAGATCTTCCTCGACTTATGATGGCTTATATCCTGATAAACTCATCATGAGTTGAAAACATCTTAAGTCAAAAATGTATTTAATACACCTTACCTACTGAATGTCCTAGCTCAGCCTCGCCTGCCTTACATATACATTATGTATATGTATACATTATATGCTAAGAACACATACATTAGCAGACAGTTGGGCGAAATCAGCTAAAACAATGCCTCTTTCGTAACAAGTGTTGAGTATCTCAGGTATTTTTTGAATACTATACTGAAAGTGAAAAACAGAAGGGCTGTGTGGGTCCAGAATGGTGGTCAGTGTATTGGTTGTTTGCTTTCATGACTACGTGACTGACCAGGAGCTGTGGCTCGATGCCACTGTCCCAGCATCATGAGAGAGTATCTTACCACATATCACTAGCCTGAGAAAACATCAAAAATCAAAATTCCAAGTATAATTTTTGCAGAATATGGATTGCTCTTACACCATCATAAAATCTAAAAATTATGAGTCAGAATATTGTATGTTGGGGGCTGTCTTTACTTTTAAAAAGGTGCTGGTAGTGTGATCCAGGGACATGGCAGTGGGCATTGGAGAGACGCCAAAGCAAAGGAAAGAAGGAAACTTGGTGACTGATTGTCTAAGAGGGATAGAGTTGGGGCAGGAACCTGAACTGGTACCCTGGTTTCTGACTTGGGTGACTTAGTTCATGGTGGCATGCTGTAATCAAACAGCACTAAGAGAATGAAGAAGGAGGAATAGTCTCTTCCCACTTCTGAGGAGAGGACAATGGGTCCTATGGTCCCCTCTGCGGGAGTCAAAGGCCCACAGGAACATGGATCCAAGCAGGTCATTACAGCACATCAGCGTCCGTGATGAAAACGGAACTCTAATTGTGCCAGCCCCATTCTGGCATAATAAGTGTGGTTTTTAACATAATGCACTGCTGGAGTGAAGTTGTCAGAAAAGCAGGGGGTGGAGGACGTAATCTGTGAGACTTCAAAGAAAAGAAGATTGAAGCCATTTTCTGTGGCTGGAAATGAGTCATTTGTCAGCGATGCCAACCTGCTGTCAGCCCCACAGGGAGATATGGCTGGGCACCCTAGGGGGAGGGCTGGTGAAGGTGTCAGCCTCCAGTCACCAGAGGCCATGTGTGGGGTAAGAAGTGTCAGTCACATCACATCCCTGTCCTGACCTGGGTCAGAGGGAAACCAAGGTCATGTCAGAGCATTTAGCATTGTAACCGAGGAACCTTTTAACCTGCCTCTGTCAGGAAAAACTGATGTGCTCAGCATTATCAGAGACAGTTCAGAGCTTTAATTCCCCAGGAGACGTGCACTTTAAAAGAACAGTGAGAGGGCAACACTTTTAGGAAAAGGAAGCTAAGAGGTAAGAGTGGATTGGTGGCACCAGGGAGAAGGGACTTCTGAGCAAGGACCTGCTTAAGGTCACTGAAAGAATAGCACGTAGATGCACACTCTCTCTATCCGGTCTTCAAGGCTTGGTGAGGGGCCGGGATCTGTGAGTCCACACAGCTTGGAAGCCATTCCAGTGAATGATGTTGACCTGCTCTAGATGCAGGGGTCCTGCTTTTTAAGCCACGGCACTACCTGTTAGCCCTTCCCCCCGTTATGCCATTCATCAGTCCCTGGGGCACTCCAGCCACTGCAGCAGGCTCCTCTAAGGTACTCTCCTTGCTTCCACTGCTCTGTTCTAATCCATTTTCCTCCCTGTGACCACAATGATCATTTAAACCCTAATTTACATCTCTTCTCCCTGCTCACCATGTCCCCCCAGGTTGGATGCTGTGATCTCTACAACCTATATGGTGTCAATCTCAAGCAGGACATCTTCTCCCTTGTTCCCTGCATCCCAGCCACACACTCCCTTTATAGTTCCTTGCATGCTCTGAGGTTTGGCCTCTCCCAAGATCTTTGCACAGGCTAGCATCTCTTCTTGGGTAATGTCTATCCATCCTTCAGCTCGGCTTAAATATTGCTTCTTTGGAGAGATACTTCCTGACTCTCAAATCACCCCTTGCCCCCAACACAGACAAGCTTTCTATTTCATAATTTCTTATTTTCCTGTGGAATATTTATGGTTATTTTCTTATTGTGATTGTTTACATTCTGAGATCCCATTTTGACTGTGAACTCTAGATGAGTAAGTATAATGCTTTGTCTTTTTTGCCAATGCATCTACGTGACTCGAACAGTGCCTAATATAAATGTTCCATAAGTATTTGTAGGATGAATGAATGAATGAATGAGTGAGTGAATGAATAAACAGCTCTTCAGTAATTCTAGTGGGCAGAAAATATTGGGACTCCATACACCAGGCAATATTACAATAGGACCAAGTGACTGTAGGCAAAGAAAGAAGCAAAAACTCAAGGAACCGTATCAGTCCCTTTCCTGCCACTTTACAGGAAGCTGTGCTTCCCATTCACATTTTCTGGGCCAGGAGAGTTTTGAGGAGCTGACATTATAGAGCACTTTGCATTAGGCCAGTAGTTCTCAAAATCTCCCAGAAGAGCATATGAAAACACAGATTCCTGGGCTCCCCAGCTTCCGCTCCTCTTCTCTTATCCATCTCTAGTCCATGTCAGATGATCAGCACTATCACAACCTCCCATTTTTACCAACCATCTGACTTTCTCAAGGTAACTTTTATGTTCTACCCATCCTCACAGAGAAACACCATCTACTTGGGCTTTTTTAGTTTCCACTAAGGCCCTGATGATACTTGATAAGCTTCTCCAGTTACAATGCAACGAGTAATGGCCAGACCAACATATGACTTCTCTAAAGAGAACTTTCATTCTAATACCTGATAGAACATTTGTATCCAGATAACATTGACTAATGGTGGTGGTCAATTTGGGCCATCCTAGTTTGCAGCTTAAAATAAGCCTTCACACATACTATTTAAAATGTTTTATTTAGTAAGCCTTTTCAATATACCATTAAAAAGATTGTGGGGTAGGCAATGATAAGACAGCTTAATAGTGGAAATTATTTCTCTGTACTTTAGACACATCCACATGTATGACAATAAATAGTGTGCTAGTTATAATAGTATCTTATCCATCCTACAAGGATCTTTACTGAGAAAATATTTAGATATGGTAGGTGACTTACCACTTGTATCTGAAAAAAAATGCATACGTACATATATAGGTATGGATACAGGTAAAGCTGTATGTGTATGTTTTTCATCACGAAATCCTAAAATTCCAGTTTTTCTTTTCTCACTCCATTGACTTCATATGAATTAAGTTTGATTCTATGAAATGGAACCCATTATAACTTTCATTATCTGTTCTCATACATACTAGATTGTATCTCTTGCCTCACACTCATTAAATAAGTATTTAGTAACATTTCTAAAGAACAACTTCTGCTAGATCAAGCTGGAAGCCATTGGGGATCTAAGTCCTTTTTTTTTTTTTTTAATGGCAAAGTATCACAATCCCTGAGCAATTTACCAGGTTGATTTAATTTGGAGTCACTTCCATGCCTTCCTGTAGACCTACCCTAAGTCTCTAGCTGAACAGAGTTAGAAATTGATGAAATGTTCTACCCTATGTCACACAGACACACGAAGTTCAATTTCAGCACTGATACTTTCACCTACAGGCTTGGTTCTACTTGAGGAAAATCAAATATTTTCTTTCCTCTTGAGTCAGATAGATACTTCTGACAGTAAGAAACGAGGAAGAAAACAAATACACCGAACACATGCTATACATCAGGTGCTCTTTGTATGTCAGTAATGATTCTCACCCCAACGCTGGCGGATAGATGTCATTATTCCTCCCAGGCAGATTAAGCAAAGTGTAGGGAAAAAAGCAAAAGGAAAGGCCTAGAAGTGAAATCATATACCTGAGGTCACACATCAAGCAAATGACAGAGAACAGATTCACAAACAGGTTCATTTGTCACTAACAGCCATATGGTATGTTTGAGCAGGGTCACTGACTACTGAAGAAGCTCTTATGGTGGCTGGATGTCAGCCTTGACAATAACAGCCAAGACACAAAAGGAGTCAGAAACAGTCTTTCATCTTTTACGCTGAGGAGACGATGTAGTAGCTTTTTCCTCATTGCTTTTCAAGGTAAGGAGCCTACACCACTTCTCTGAAACTTCTGAGATGTTTTTGTTTTTGTTTTTTTTTTTTTTGTTTTTTTTATCCTCACCTCCTTCTTTTCATTGTATCTGATTTGGAGAATCAAATTCAGTCCCTCTAACCCACGAGTCCTCTGACTCCACCACTAGACGTAACTTTCTTTATCCAGTTATTCTAGAATGCTAGCCTTTCATCTCACTTTTTCATCTAGCACTGAACATTTTGCAATTTCACATATACCTGTTTATTGTCCAGGGATATTAGGGTTGAGGAGAGAGATGAAGGAGGCTGAAATTTTGGATCAAATCAGTGACATTCGTGTGTCCAATCTCTGATTTCCTTCCCAAGATGAGGGAGGGAGGGAGGGAGGGAAGAAGGGGGGAAGGGGAGTATTATTTAATTGGTATTTCCAACCAATTCTCCCTGAAGAAATGGGACTAAAACTACCTCCCATGGCTCACAAGGCTAATGAGGATCAAATGAGATAATACAAGGGAGAGTATGTTTAAAAAATCAAATTGCTAAAATTACTGTTAGGGCAACAACAGAAACCATTTGCAACAAAACTTCACACGAAGTTTTGTTTCAGGTAGTCCATAGACTACCTGAAAAACTTTTCTTTAGGTTGAAACTCTTAGAAGACTTCCCACAAATATCATATATGCTTTTCTTGTTATGCTTATTCCTAAATTCTTAGTAAAGTCTACTTTATTTATATGTCTTAGTATTTTAGAATCAGTAGATATTTTAACAAGTATTAGACTATTAATACTTCTAGGCAGTAAAGATTGAAAACAAAGTTACCAATGGGGACAGGAAAAAGAAGGTTTAAACTATCCAGGAAATCAGACGTTATTCAAGAGTTAGATAAAATCTATTTAGCTGTATCCAACTGCCTGCCAAGAATACACAAATCATTCTTATTTATATTCAGTTCTTCATATCTCAGTAAATTTGCATGTACTAAAATGGCATTTAAAAACGAACACAGTCTAAACCCCTATTTTCCCAACACAGGGAATCTGAAAACATCAGCAGACTAGTAGTTATTAGTTTTCCCATCTGTAAAATTAGGAAGTGGGACTCGATGGGGAATAGAAAGACACAGCAAGTTGGCCCTACACTGCCCAACTCCTTGCCCGTGGCAGACATCGCTAATGGATTAAAGCACCTTCCCACCAAACTAGGAAGTAGCCTCCTTACTGCTCCCTGCAGCTGCTACCAACCAACTGGAACGCTGCCATTGTAGGATTAGATGCTTTCTAAGATTTTATTTTTTAACTCTGACATTTTCAGGATATGTAAATGCAATGAGTTTGTCTAAGTTCTAAAATTCATTTTGTTAAAAGTAATCTGTGCCTATTCTCTGGAAGATGATGACAACTTTCAGTTGGTATTTCTCATTCAGTTGTCTGTCTTCTCTCTTCCCCATTCCGTGAATGGTACCGGTATCTCTCAGCAGGAGATGCCAAGTAAATGAAACCGCCCAGCAGGAAACCCTGTTTGGCAATTCTAACAAGGCTTGAAGAATTGGTTTCCTCGTTAGAAACAACAAAAGTTTCCTATCTGGTGAACATGCAAGTTCTGGGCACGATCTCATGGGTGCTCTACCTGAACAAAATATTGAAGCATAAGGAATATAAATGAAAAGCAAATTCTTGGTAATGATGGGATCTGTCATTCACCTTGACTCCAGGAGATAAAAATTCCATTTTCTTGCAAGATATTATCTGGGTTTAACAGAGTCTGGCCCTAGGAGTAGAAAGACTTCACTTTATGCATGGGGATTACCACTTCATAAGCTCCTACCATGTACCTAGGACCCTCATATGTATCATTTCATTTAATCACAATAATACTAGTTAACACGTATTAAACCTTTCCAATGTGCCAGGACTGTTCTAAGGACTTTACTTGAATCAACTCATGTAGTAGCTACAAGTGCTTTATAGAGCAGGTACTACTAGTATCATTAAATTAGGAAATAGAGGCAAAGGGAGGCTAAGTAACCCGTGAGAGACAGCGGTACCATTCACTTGCCCGAGGTGATAGAGTAGTAAGTGGTATACCTGATAACTGAACCTGTAAAGTCTGGCTACAGAGTCTGAGCTTGTAACCACTGCATTGCCCTACCTGATGATGTTCCAAATAGTTTGTTGTTATGTTTACTTTTCGTACGGGTAAAGGAAACTTCAGAGCCTATCTCCTCTCATCCACAAAGTGGCATAGCAGGGCCAGCACTTTTCATTTGTTGTTTCATTTAAATCCTTGATACAACCCCACAATGTAGATGGTAGCATTTCCCCCACATAACAGATGAAGAAACAGAGGTTCTTGAGGGACTGTAACTTGCCCGAGATCACATAGCTAGTAAATGGTAGGGCTGGGCTTTGAACAAGGCAGCCGAATTCAAGATGTACAGGACTCCAGTTTTCAAAGAGCTGATAATCATATCTAAAAGAAGGAACAGAATAAAGATGAAAAAAAGTCTTCCAGATCTGATGGATCAAAGATAACATGGACAGTGTGAACACAGGGCAAGGGACTCAGAGAAACATCAGAGTGGGGTGGGGGGAGGAGTTTCAATAATAAGGAGGAATAATTGACTATTTAAGAATAAATGGAGGGTAGGGGCACCTGGGTGGCTCAGTCAGTTAAGTGTCTGACTTTGGCTCAGGTCATGATCTCATGGTCTGTGAGTTCAAGCCCTGCATTGGGCTCTGTGCTGACAGCTCAGAGCCTGGAGCTGCTTCATATTCTGTGCCCCCTTCTCTCTCTGCCCCTCCCCTGCTTGCATTCTTTCTCTCTTTCTCTCTCAAAAATAAGTAAACAGTAAAAATTTTTTTCAATAAAAAAAGAATAAATGGAAGGTAGATTGAGGGGTTTTCAAAGTAAGGTGATTGTCAGCATTTGCTGAGGGGGTGCTCATATGTGTGTGAGTCACAGAGAAGGATGGGCACCTACTAATCAGTTTAAGAGATGCTAATAATTGATTAATAAAGGAAAGGAAAGTGGATTAAAGATCTGTTTGTTCGGTATCTGCTTAATAATTACTTCATCGGGGCGCCTGGGTGGCGCAGTCGGTTAAGCGTCCGACTTCAGCCAGGTCACGATCTTGCGGTCCGTGAGTTCGAGCCCCGCGTCGGGCTCTGGGCTGATGGCTCAGAGCCTGGAGCCTGTTTCCGATTCTGTGTCTCCCTCTCTCTCTGCCCCTCCCCCGTTCATGCTCTGTCTCTCTCTGTCCCAAAAAAATAAATAAACGTTGAAAAAAAAAATAATTACTTCATCAAATGTAATGAAAATGTTTCTGAGCCTTACTTTAGAGCTCAGACAGATCCTAGAATTTACTTTTTTCCTAACTAACTCATTCTACCTTCCCATCTCTCTGCCTTTCTGCCTCACTTCACTATTGCAGAGTATTCTTGGAAATACTTTCTAGCCCTTAACAGAATTCTGTTCCTTAAGCAGGGCTTTTAGAAATTGCGATCCCTAGTTTATTGTCATCCCATTTCAGCCTTTTGACTTTGTGGCAGTAAATTGCTCCTAAGTTCATTCCTGCCATCCCCCCACCCCCCTTTTGCCATAATTGGATTTATACTTCTCCTCTGCTTATGTGTGCACGCACGTGTGTGTGTGTGTGTGTGTGTGTGTGTGTGTGTGTGTGTATATACATATATATATATACACATCCACTGCTTGCTCACAGTTTTGGGGTTTGGGGGTTGTTGGGTTTTGTTTCCCAATCATAAACAATGTTTCTATTCTACTTCCATCCTCTAGAGAAGACCGATAAAATTTGACTCATGAAGAGAGAGAGAGGGGAAAAAAAAATCCAGGAGGCGAAAGTAATATGGGGAGAAAATGAAAGAGATTTAGTGCAGCTATCAACCGACCGTTGTGCTGTCTTTAAGAGTCTGTTGAAACAACATAATAAAAGGTAATAAAGTTTGGATTTATAGCCTACCTGGCAGAAATGGCTGCCTGTTTGTATCTTGCCCACTCACAGCCCACCGTGGGTCTTTGTCTTGGGGTCTTTTCCCCTGGAGTGTCATCTCCGCCCCCCCTTGGACTTAAGAGGCATCATGCAACCCGAGAACATCCAAATTGGCAGGTGAGTGAAACATCTTTCTGGCTCCTTCTTTTCCCTTCTTTTTCCTGGGATTTAATGACCCAGCTTTGTTTCTTTTAAAAGCTGTATTTGGTTCAGTTTGCCTAGCAATGTCCTCAGTGATTCACTAAAATAGGTAAAGGGAACTTTGAACCTTGAAAATGGTCATGTCAGCTCTCAAGGGATGAAGGGCTTATTTCTTCCCCTTCAAGTTCAAATCAATTTCCATAAACTTCTAAATCAGCACTAATCAGTCTCTTGAGAGGAAGGAAGGTGGTACATATTCCCCAGGTAGTTTGGGAAATCAAAGATCAAGAGGACAAGAGAAAGGATGATATGTGCCTCCCAAAGGGCTGAGTCCATATTCCAGGAGTCAATTGGGACAGAGAATGGTCCTCTGGATCTATAGTGCTCTCTGATACTTAGCAAGTGATAAGAAAATAAAGTGTGTTCGTTCGTTCGTTCGTTCATTCATTCATTCATTCATTCATCAAACATGTATCTACAAACAGCATCTACTTTGTGCCAGGCCTTGTGCCAGTGTTAAGGATACACACATGAGTAAGACCAGAGCTCCGTCCCGAAGATTGCAATCCAGGGAAAGAGATGCCCCCTTAGACACAAAATTATAAATGCAATGTTAAAGTCCACAATATTGGTATACGTGTTCATGGCTCAGGAGGTGCAAAAGGGAGGTAGGAACCAAGCTAACCCTAATTGTCTTGGAAGCCTTCAGGATAGAGCTGGCCCTTGATCAGTGATTTAAGTGTTCGCTTAAATGGATAAATAAATTAAAAAATTAAAATAATTGGCAGGAAAAAGGAGTCAGAAGTTACAAATTCAAGATTGGAAGATCATTTGCTGTGAGATCCTGGGCGAGTCTCTCCCCAGCCCTGGGCCTCCGTTTCCCCATCTATGAACTGAGATTTTTGTCTGTCTTTTAAGTTCCGTTCCACCTCTGATGTTCTAAATTACATCAAGCAAGGTAAGGGAATGTAAACATTTTCCCAAAGTGCGGTTCTTAGAGCAGGTCCAGCATCTCCCTCCCTCCCTCCCATCTCCTGTCTCTCTAGAAGATAAGCCCCATTTTCTTCATACTGTATGTTTTGCCCCTGGTTGTTTATAGACTGGGTCTAGCTGTGTGGTTCTGTGAGTCTCTGAATCCTTGCGAAAGACAAGTTACAGACACCACTGTCTGCTCCCCACCTGTGGTGCTGGTTGAGACCAAGTGGGAAGCCAGAAAATTCTGGGAGGAAAATGGAAACGGGGCCACTGTGAGAAGCAAGGAGGAGGGACACTAGCAACAAAGCACCGAGCCCCTGGAAGAGAGACCTCATTACTAAAGTATGAGTCATGGTAATAGTCTGAATAAATCCCCATAAAGTCAGGGCTAATGGTGTCTGCTGGAGCCTGCATTGTGCCATAAACACAGAGCCAAGGCTGCGCTAATTGTCAGACCCAATCAGAGGGGCTGGGGAGCATGAAATGAAGGATTAGTTCAGGGGAGTGAGCCCCAGCCTCTGTGGGGACCCTGGCTCTGCCTCCCGGCTGGCTAGAGCTCCTCTGTGGGAGAAGCCTGGCCTCTTTCCCTTCCTCTTCTTCAGGTTTCTTTTATTTGTTCCTTTTTTTTCCCCCCTCCTTGCTTCTCCTTTCTCCATTTCCTCCCTTATCCAAGCTTGGCAGCAAGTAACCGGGGGTTTACTGGACCAGATAACTGAGCCCCCCTGCCTCATCATCACCTTCAACACACTTTCACGATCTGATTTTCACAACGACCTTCTGGTGAAAAGATTTTTGAGGAAATTAAATCTCAGAACAGCTAAATGATGGGCCAGGGTTACACACATACCAAGTAGAAGATGTGGGATTGCATCCCAAATATGTTTGAAGTCAGGTTACCCACACAGAATTTGGAATTGGGGTGTGGGTGTCAACAGCACCAGTTGTGGCTCACTGACAATGTCACACAGTCAGATGTATCCTCCGAAGACTAAGGGAAAAGGTAGAGCAGCAAGCTCTACCCTTTTTCCCCCTCCCGAGTGCTGACTTATTTAACAAGCACTGAGTGATCATCATGTGCAGGCGTTCTCCTTGGTGCTGAAGATACAGAACCAAGTGGCTCTCCACGTGGAACTTACATTCTCATGGGGGTAATAGTCAATAAACAGGTCATGAAGTACCTCTGTGATATAATGGGCTCTGATGCTGGTGTCAGTGGCTATCGGAATGGATTGGGGAAGCACTGGAAGTTGTGACAATTTTGGTGCTCATAAAATCTTCATAAAGTCTTTTTCTCTGTGCTTTAGTTTGAACCTGAGTTTTGCCTGACTTTCTCAGTATAAGGTATACCATTAGCTCACAAAAATCCCCTAAAATTCTTATGCCAAATGCGCTCTGAGTCAATTTTCATTACTCAGAGACTCAGGAGGCCACTGCTAGCAGGCAAAGGGCTGTAGCTGCCATCACACCCTGCCTTGTCATGGAGAATGTCAGCCTGCCCCGAGTCTCCCAAATTGAGTGGTTGTGTTTTTTTATGGTTCCCCTTCCCTTCCTTCCCTTCCACTCTCTTCCCTTCAGCTCTGTCTTCTTTGCCTGCCTGTAGCTTGGATGTGTCATAGGGTCAGTTGCCTGTGCCATGGGCAGTAGCATCTGGGGACCTTACCATCTCACAAAAACTGCCAGCTTTTGGTCTCAAGAACTTTCTAATGCCTAGTGTTCCTGTCTGATGTCAGGGGAAGATAATTACCCATGCCACGTTGTTTGGTATAGAAGATGGTCTAGAGAGAGTGAAGGAAGTACATGATGGCTGCCTCTGTGACTTCAGTCATATTTTATTCCATATCTAGAATGACTGATATCTCCAGGTACAAATTTCTCCCCTCCTTCAAAGTCCGTAACAAATGGCATCTTCTCCATGGAACCTTATTTAATAACATAATGCTCTGGGTGGCTCAGTTGGTTAAGTGTTGGCTTCGGCTCAGGTCACGATCTTGGGGCTGACAGGTTCGAGCCCCACACTGGGCTCTCTGCTGTGAGCATGGAGCCTGCCTCAGATCCTCTGTCCCCCTCTCTCTCTCTGCCCCTCCCTTGCTTGCACACACACTCTTTCTCTCTCTCTCAAAAATTAATAGACATTAAAAAAAAAACTAACACAACGATCTACCGATCTTTTGAAGACTCATAACAAAATCTGCCAGCTACATGGGTGTGGATTCACATTCCTGCTCCCACCATATACCAGCCATTCGAGTCAAACCTTAAATACTGGGCAAAGTGATATCTGCCAACCCACATCCTCTTTGGCAGTATGACCTTGCCATTTTCCCATTGTAAACTAGAGGCTAATTTCTAAATTAATCCATATTTGCCTGATGGACACTTAGAATAAGGCAGAAATGACACTGCATGACTGGGATGCTAGGTCAGTAGAACCCAGCTGCCAGCAGAGGCCTAAGCCACATGCAGAGGCCAAATGTAGGTGTCTCTGATAGAGAGTCCTAGCTGCACCCAACCTCAGCCCAACCCAGCTCAAGCTCTAGGCCTGTGAGTCATGAAATCTTTTGATGATCCCAGCCTCTAGCCATTTGAGTCTTCCCCACTGCCTAGATACCTTATAGCAGACATAAGCTATCCCTGCTGTACCCTCTCCAGATTTCTGGCTCACAGAATCTGTGAGCAGGATAAAATGGTTTCATGCCACCATGACTGGTGTGAATGACTCAGTAGCAATGGACAACTAGAACAGCGTTTCAGTTTTTAAGTCAGCGATAGGGGGTGATATTGTCAACTGTAGAGTGTAGCTGAAAAAATAAATGAAATAATAGACAAGAAGTACTGTCGACTTAGACATTTAGGGGACATTTAATGAATATAATCCCACCACTTCCTTTAACTGTAGCATTTTCAAACGTCCGCATATCTTATTAGAATTTTTGCTTCTCTTCAGGAGGGACTGAATCATATTCAAATTGTAAGCCTTGTATTATGTGTATGTGTGTGTGTGTGTGTGTGTGTGTGTGTTTAAATTTAAAAAAATATTTGTTGAATGAAAATGAATAAATGCAAAGACATGGGATCAGGAGTTGGAAAGTGTAGTTATTAGCTGTGTGATCTTGATTAATCTCTCTCCATCTGGGGATTAATATCCTTCTGTGTCAAATGAAAATGCCAGAAGGGGAATACTGTGGTCAGCTGCTGAAGAACAACTTTTCTCCAACTCTTAAGGAGCTGCTGAAGGGAAGAAGAACAGATTTCTCTGACTCTCAGGTGGTATTATCAGGGCCCTGGATGGGATACACAGGTGTAAGATAATGAAGAACTATGTAAGGAGTCAGAAATACTCAAAGGTTAAAGATGTCTTGTGAGCCAGTGAATGCCTTGCCCCTACAGATGTTAGCATGAAGACTGAATGTTTTCTTGGAGCTCTGCTTGGAGGACAGATTGGGTGGATTCTATCTCCCATATTCCTATTTGTAATGCCACCTATTTGTAATGCTCCAAACGTGCTCAAATTTGCAAAAGTTCTTTTGACTTTATAGTCTTTTCTGTAATTCTTAGGTTGGTGGGTCTGGAATGGTATAGATGGGGATCTGGCTGGTAGAGCAGCCTAGAGTAAGGGTCACCTGGGGCTAGTCTGGCTTGTTTATTTCAGTGAATCAGGGGAAGGGTGGAGGAGTGGAGAAGTCGGGGGGAGGAATATTGATCAGGGACTGAATGT